GGAGATGCTATGGGGCACGAGCTGTCTATAGAGGAGCAGAGCTCAGGTTCATTTTTACCTGGCGGGCACAATCAAGGAAGTCATCTTCAAGACAGAAGTGTAGTGTCTCTGGGACAGGATGTCTCTCATTGTTTTAGGTTGACCTTCTCCATGGAGTTTCTAAGGGAGGTCTCAAGCAAAGACTATCAGACTGAGAGAACACATTTTTTAAATGAACAAGATGGAGTCAGTCTGGATATACAGGCCCCTACTGCAGTGTGACAAGTGATTTTCAATGAAATCCTGGACATTTGAGACACTATGCTGTGAGACTCTGGAGCTTATTGAAATCTCCAGGTTTATCAGGCCTCTTCTGACATCTTGCTAGTGGAGAAAAGGGGGCTCTGTTGTGTTACTGCCAGATGAAGGTGGGAGTCCAGGCTCTCTACTGGGTCTCAGTCAACACCTGGGGGAAGGGGGAGAGGGGTGTTTCTGAAGGGAAGTTATGTGAGTTCAGGCTCTTGGCCTCCAGGGGCAGGTGAGCCTCATTACTGCCCCCTAGGGGGCTTCCACCGACACTACAGGGCCCATGCTTATGCCCAGACTGGATGGCCCTCCAGACTCCCTACTAAGCCTGGCAGAGGAGACGGCCATTTCCTTACAACTGGCAAGAATGGAAGTCTAGGCTTTTCTGTGGGTTTTATAGGAATAGAATGGTTATCTTCTAAAGATTTGCTATCTTACCAGGCTGTCCCCCTTGGTCCTTTGGCCAAAGATAGCAGATTGCTCTTGGGCTGTGTAGGTGTGCATGTGTGTGATGCTTCACACTGGGTTGTTGTCCATCTTTCTGCTCAGCCTCCTGAGTCTCCGGGCCACAGGTGTGAACCACTCCTGGCTCTTTCAGACAGGGTCTTGTTATGTCACCCACTCTGGCCTCGAACTCTGAATCCTACCTCAACCTCCCCAGGAGCTGGGATTACAGGTGCACCCCACCATGCTCTTCTTTGAGGGTGGGCCTACAACTGAGCTGGGGCCTCCAGTGTGGTCTCGGCCTAGGAGTAGTGGTGTCAGCGTGCATGATCTCAGCTGGGCCTGCTGGGCCTCTTGGGCCTTTCATTTTGGTGTTTCTGGGTTGCCAGCATCTCCAGTTCCAAGTCCAGGATCTGTGAGGCAAAAAGAAAACCTACCCAATCTGTCACCATGTCCTTGCTCCAGTCCCGAGATACTTTTCCAGTCAGCCTTACTCTCTACACCTTTCAGAGTCATACACACACACACACACACACACACACACACACACACACACATATATTCAAGAGTTTTAACTGTACTTAGGGGGAGGAATAGGGAAAATACACTTACATTGTCTTTTGAGATCTAAAAAAAAGATTTTCTATGTAGCCAGAATTTATTTTACAGAGGGTATGAAAGTTGGAGTCAGGCAGACCTGAGTTAGAAATGAGTCCCCAAGGGCCTGCACAGTGGCCCAGTGGTAGACCGTGACAGTCTGAAAGGCTGACCCCCATGGGCAGGTTGCTGGTTCATAGCTAGAGATGTCCCTGAGTGCACTGGGCATGTATGTGCTCGTGGTCTGGGATGGTTGGGGCTGGAGAGATATTATAGAGACCCCATTGGGGGTACTGTCCCTCTCTCTCACATTCTCTGTCTCTCTTGCTTATGGAATAAATAAACAATTGGGTTTGTTTTTACATTTTTTTTTCTTTTTTTAGATTTTTGCCACAGGGCATGTCTACAGACAGACAGAGAGAGGGTAAGTGAGAAGTCACCCACCGGGGATGATTTCCACTCTCCTTTTGGACATGAACACCCATGCACCCAATGTGACTTTCAAGCCACCTGCTCCAGGGGGCACATGTGCTCACAGGAGAGACAGAGAGACAAAAAAACAAGACCTCACTTCCCAGGGGAATGGCCATGCCTTAATCCCTCTCCACTCTCCTCTCCAGATTTTGGGCATACATGCACACACGCCTGGTTTGAGTTTTAAGTCATAAGGTCCAGCGGTCAAACCATAGGCTATATGGGAGTCCAGCGCCTTAACCACTAATGCCACCTACCGACCCCAAGAATTATTTAAAAAATAATTTCCCCATTTTACAACTTGCTTTTTCACAATTCACTTACCCAATACAAGCCCCAGTTCACCTATTGTAAAAAGGGATAATAATAGTAATTGCACTACAGGGTAACATCAGTAATAAACGAGATAATACACTTGAAGACCAAACCTCATTGCTGGACAGTATGCTACAGGTACCCCCTTTGATTCATACCAATACATAAACTTTAATTTGCGATGGTTACATAATATTCCCTCCTAGAGACAAAGCATGATTTATCCCATGGAGCTCCTCTTATTGGAAATTAAAATTCTCTCTAATTTATGCTTTTATAAGCAGTGTCTCCTAAAACATCCGAGCTAATTCTTTGCACACATTTATGATGATTTCATTAGGAATAATTACCGGAAGTGCAACCACTGGCTTAGAGGACATTACACTAATAAGCCAGTTACAAAAAGATAAATGCTACATGATTTCACTTTTTTAAAAAAATTAAATTTATTGGGACCAGCAGTTAGCATAATGGCTATGTTGCTGGACTCCCACATAGTCGACCGCGATTTGAGTCCTGGACCCGGTGGCTTAAACTCACGCTGGGCGCATATGCCCAAGATCCTGAGAGGAGAATAGAGGAGAAGGGATTGCAGCGTGGCCATCCTCCCCAGGGGATGATTTCTCGCTTTCTATCTCTCTGTCTCTCTCTGTTTTTCTGGCGAGCGCACACACCCTATAGCTGAAAACCTCTCAAAAGAAAAATTAACTTTATTGAGCAAGACAGGTACTCTAAACAGGCTTTCCTCATATAGCACTCCCCTTCCTTCAGCTCTTCAGCCAATCAGGACCTTGGGAGACACCCACTGGGCATATTTCAGATCAGCTTGGGATCTGAACCCATGGTCCACCATGTGGCTTCCAGCACCACAGACCAGGACACTACTACCTGTGCTGCTGTGCCCGGGGCCTGCGTGGTGTCACTTACATGCGGGATCTAAAAATGTCAAGCTCATAGAAGCAGAGAGTAGGATGGTGCTTACCAGGGGCTGGAGGAGGAAGAAATGAAAAGATGTTGGTCGAAGAGTACAAAGGTTCAGTTATGCAAGGTGGTGAGCTCTGCAGAGCTGAGGTACACAACGAGGACTGCCGTAGTCAACACTGCGTCATAGTCTTGACAGTCACCGAGAGGACAGGTCCCAAGTGTTCTCACTACAAAAAGGAAGGACGGGGAGGAAGAAGGAAGCAGAGCGGGAACTACAGTATGCGAGGTGATGGGTATGTTATTTAGCTTGACTGTAGTTGTCCTTTCACACTGTATACATCTATCAAAATATCAAGTCGTATACCTTAAAGGCGTCAAATTTTTGCTTATCGTATCTCAGTAAAGCTGTTTCAAAAAAAGAACCACCACGTCAAAAACTATACATATTTTAAGGCTCCTAATTTACTTTTTTAAAGAGGCTTTGCTTTAGGGTGTGTGCTGTCGCTAGAGAGAGAAAGAGAGACAGAGACAGTAAGAGGGGAAAGTGAGAAATCACACCCCAGGGAGGTTAGCCATGCCTCAATCCCTTCTCCTCCATTCTTGTCCCAGGATCCTTGGGCACACGCACACATGCCTCGTGTGATTTTTCAAGCCACCAAGTCCAGGATTCAAACCGCAGTCAGTCATGTGGGAGACCAGCGATATAACTGCTATGCCATCTGCTGGTCTCTTAATTTGCATTTTAATTGCCAGAGGGAATATACACTTGCCAGAGAGAGAGAGAGAGCCCTCAATGGGATGTGGCCACACCACAATCCCTTTTTTCTCCGTTTCTCCATCCTGTCAGGATTTGGGGCACATACGTACATGTACCTAGTGTGCTTTTTAAGTCACTGGGGCTGAGATTCAAACCACAGGCAGCCATGTGGGATCTGCTCACGATGCATGGCACTTCGCTGCTGTGCTCATGCTTTGCAGCTTTTGGCCTGTACTTTCAAGGTGACTTTGAGAAAAGTATATACTGGGGCTAGTGGGTGGCAGGTGGTTGGGATACCAGACTGTCACATGGCCAACTGCAGTTTAAGTCTCAGACGCCGCTGCTTGAAACTCACGCTGGGCACATGTGCGTGCATGCCCAGAACCACAGGAAGACTGGAGGTGAAGGGATTGTGGCATGGCCATCCCCGCTAGGGGGGTGATTTCTTGCCTTTTTTCTCTGACTCTGGTGAACGCACGTGTCCTATAGCAAAAATCTCTATCTGAAAAAAAAAGAAGAAGAAAGAAAGAAAGGGACAGAAAAAAGGAAAGAGAAAGGAAGAAAGAAAAAGGAAGGAAGAAAGAAAGAGAAACAAAGAGAAAGAAACAAAGAAAGAACGAAATTAACTTATAACCTAGGTAGTAAGAGTCCTCATCAGGGTTTCAAAACTGGTCCTGGGAATGGCCATAACCCCCTGAATTACATGCAAATGTACACCCATTTCTGGGGAGAGGATCTGGGATCCCTAGATGTTTAAGAATGTCTGGAAATGGAGTGGGTGGGTCCTTGTCCTGTGTGTGTGTATGAGAGTGAATGTGAATGTGAGCGTGTATGTGTGAGTGTGTGTGAGGGTGTATGTGAGTGTATGAGTGAATGTGTGTGTGAGTGTGCAAGAGCAAGTGGATGTGAGTGTGTGTGAGTGAATGTGAGTGTGTGTGAGAGTGTGTGTGTGAGGGTGAGTGTGTGAGAGTGAGTGTAAGTGTGTGTGAGTGAATGTGTGTGTGTGTGAGAGTGAATGTGAATGTGTGTGAGGGTGTGTGTACGTGGGCGTGTGGGTGGGTGGGTGGTGCAGGCTATTGCTCATCCTGGCACCAGCAAAGCCAGAGCAGGTGTTCCAAGCCCCCTGCCATTTCCTGCCCCTGACAGGTCCTAGAACTCCAGAACTTCCCTCACCCTGTTCCTCTTTCTCTTTCCTCTTCCGCAGAGAAGCTGCACCAGCCCCAGGTGGCAGCCCAGAACCTGTCCCCAGTGGAGCACCTGGACTCCTTGAATTTGTCGTGCATCTCTCCAAACAATGATGTGACGGTCCGGTGGTTTCTGAACCTCGAGGTGATTCAGGAAGGGGATGGACCAGCAATCTCCAGCGATGGCAGGGCCCTCATCGTCCCCACAGTCACACGCAATGACTCAGGCACCTACCACTGCGAGACTAGGAACCACCTGGGATCCAGGCTCAGCGAAGCCCTCATAGTTGACGTGGCCTGTAAGTCTGGGTTTCTCTGCTGTACCCTGGCCCATCTCTGGTCCCCACAATAGCTCCTGCCCCGGCACCCATGGCTCATCCACCACTTGTAGCTCAGTGCTTAGAGCAAGGGTCCTGCAGGCTGCAGGTTCAAGCCCTGGCCTTGGACTTTCTCAGCCTGAGCAAGTCACTCTGCCTTTCTGTGCCTCAGTTCACTCATCTGTAAAGTGACCATTGGAATAGAATCTGTCTCACTGGGTAGTTGTGAGGATTAAACGAATTAGGTCATCTGAAGAACTTAGAACAATGTCTGACAGATAATAAGTGTCTATTAGGTGCTTAAGATTACTATTCTCTCAGAAGTTCATTCACCATTTATTTATTCATTTATTTTTAGAGATTTTTGCTCTGGGGCAGTGCACTTGCCAGAGAGAGACATAGAAAGAAAGCAAATAATCACCCCCTAGCAGGAATTAACATGCCACAATTCTCTCTCCTCCATTCTCCTCTTGGGGTTTGTTTTGTTTTGTTTTGTTTTGTTTTGTTTTGTTTGTTTGTTTGTTTGTTTTGAGAGGTTTTCGCTATAGGGCGAAAGAGAGACAGAGACAGAGAGAGACAGAGAGACAGAAAGCGAGAAATCACCCCCCAGAGGGGATGGTCACGCAATCCCTTCTCCTCCATTCTCCTCTCGGGATCTTGGACACACACGCACACGCGCCCGGCGTGAGTTTTAAGCTACCGGGTCCGGGACGTGAACCGCGGTCGACTACGTGGGAATCCAGCAACATAGCCATTACGCTAACTGCTGGTTCCCCTCTTGGGGTTTTGTGTACACACACACACATGTGCCTGGCATGAGTTTCAAGTTGCCATGTCTAGAACTCAAACCACAGTCAACTATGTGGGAGTCCAGCACCTTACGCCACCTGCCGGCCCCATTCAGCATTTACTCAACTGTATACTCACTCAATAAAGGATCTTTCAGACTTACTCTCTTTCAAGGCCAAAGTCACAGGACTCCAAGCGTCCAGAAATTCCAGACCCCAGAACATAAATATTTGCAGAGCTGGAAGGGCTTTCAGAGACCCTTCACTTTATTTTATTTTATGTTTAATCACATTTATCTTTATTTTATTTTATGTTTAATCATATTTATCATTACAGTGTACAACATTGCTTTTTCCAGCATGACTACCATGCATATTGGATAAAGGCATTACAGTATACATTATCACCAGCAAATAGCTTTTCATTTTTTTTTTGTCAATGAAACATACTTCTTTTCCCTCCCCTGTTCGCCTCTTTCCCTTTTTTACCCACCCCTGTATTACCTCTATCCTTACTATCTCTAGTATCTACGGTTGCCTTCCCTCCTTTTATACCCTCCAGACTTTCAGTTTCTGCTCTAGAGCACAGGCAATTGGTATATCTTGAGTGAGGGCATATCAAGTCTCTTTCACATTCTGACCCCCTTCACTTAGCATTAAGTCTTCCGTATTTGTCCACTTTGTATCAAATATCAGAGTCTCATTTTTTTATGGCTGAGTACTATTCCGTGGAGTACATATGCCATATTTTTTTCAATCCAGTCATCTATTTTTGGACATTTGGGTTGATTCCATGTCCTAGTCATTGCAAATAATGCTGCAATAAACATGGATGTGCAAGTGTTTTTCCATCTGAGGGTTTTGTTATCCTTTGGGTAAATACCTAAGAGTGAAATTACTGGGTCGTATGGTAGCTCTATTTGTAGGTTTCTGAGGAATCTCCTATCGTTCTCCAAAGTGATTGTACTAATTTGCATTCTCACCAACAGTGTAGGAAGAGTTCACCACAGCTTTGTCAGCGCTTATCATTATTTATTTAAAAAAAATTTAGCCATTTGACTGGAGTTAAGTGGTATCTCGTTGTGGTTCTGATTTGCATTTCCCTTATAATAAGAGATGTCGAGCATGGTTTCCTATGCTTTGGGGCTATTACTACATCTTTTTCAGAGAAGTGTCTATTCAGTTAATTTTCCCATCTTCTAATTGGATTGATTATTTTTTGTGCATAAGCTGCTTGAATTCCCTGTATATTTTGGTGATCAGTCCCTTATCTGAGGTATAGTTTGTAAATATATTCTCCCACTTTGAGGTTTGTCTTCTCACTCTACTTACTGTTTCTTTTGCTGTTCAGAAGCTTCTCAGCCTAACATAGTCCCATTTGTCTATTTTTTGTGACTATTACCTGTGCTTTGGAGGTCTTCTTTAAGAAGTCTTTGCCTACTCTGAGGTCCCCAAGAGTTTTTTGCCCATGTTTCCCACCAGTATTTTTATAGTTTGAGGTTTTATCTTTAGATCGTCAATCCATTTTGAGTTAATTTTTATTGGTGGTGAGAGATGAGGATCCAGTTTCATTCTTCTGCAGGTGGATAGCCAGGCCTCCCAGCAGCATTTGCTGAAGAGATTTTCTTTTTCCCACTGGATTGTCTTGTGTCCTTTGTCAAGGATCAGTTGACTGTCTGTTTTGGGATTCATTTGAGGGTTCTCAATTCTGTTCCATTGGTCTACTTGTCTGTTTTTGTGCCAATACCATGCTGTTTTAATTATCACAAATTTGTGATGTATTTTGAGGTCAGAAAGTGAGATGCCTCCTACTTTATTCCTGTTGCACAGTATTGCTTCGGCGATATGGGGTATTTTATGCTTCCAGACAAATTTTGTGATTGTTTATTCTGTTTCTACGAGAAATATCTCTGGTAGTTTGATTGAGATTGCATTAAATTTGTCAATTAATTTGGGTAAGATTGACGTATTGATTATATTGATTATATTAATTCTTCCAACCCAGGAACATGGGATGTTTTCCTACTTTTTTGTATCATTTTAAATTTCTTTCTTTCTTTCTTTCTTTCTTTCTTCCTTTTCTTTTCTTTTTTTTTTCTTTCTCTCTCTCTTTTTTTTTTTTTTTTTGAGAGGTTTTTGCTATAGGGCATGTGCACTCGCCAGAAAGACAGAGAGAGACAGAGAGTTAGAAAGTGAGAAATCACTTTCTGGCCATGCCACAATCCCTTCTCCTTCATTCTCCTCTCAGGATCTTGGGCACTCACACACACATGCCTGGCATGAGTTTAAGCCACCAGGTCCGGAACTCGAACTACGGTCGACTACGTGGGAGTCCAGAAATGTAGTCATTATGCCATCTGCTGATCCCTTCAATTTCTTTTTCTAGTGTTTCATAGTTTTCCTTGCAGAGATCTTTGACGTCTTTGGTAAGGTTTATTCCTAGATAGCTTATTGATTTTGTCGCTATTGTAAATGGGATTTTTCCTGTCGATTCTGTTTCAGTTTGTCCATTGTTGGTGTATAAAAATGTTGTAGATTTGGGGCATTGATTTTGTATCCTGCTCTTTGTATCCTGTATTATAGGATATTAAATGAATATTTACTATATTCATTAGTGACTCACGTCCAAGAGTTTTTTGTGAATTCTTTTGGATTTTCAATGTTAGTATCATATCATGTATAAATAGAGAGAATTTCACTTCTTCTTTTCCTATTTGGATGCTGTTTATTTGCCTCTCTTGTCTAATTGCATGGCTAAAACTTCCAGTACTATGTTAAAAAAAAAAAGTGGGCAGAAAGTGGGCAGCCTTGTCTTGTTCCAGTGGAAAAACTTTCAGCTTTTCCCCATTTAGTATGATGTTAGGTATGGATTTTTCATAGATGGCTTTTATTGTGAAGAGCAATGTCCCTTCTATGCCGATCTTGCTGAGAGTCTTAATCATGAGGGGATGTTGTATTTTATCGAATGCTTTTTCTGCATTGATTGATCTCAACCATATGGTTTTTATCTTTCATTTTGTTAATGTGATTCATTACATTTATTGTTCTGCGTATGTTGATTTCAAGTTTGATTCCATCGTGGTTGGTAAAGATGCTAGATATAGTTTCTATACCTTTGAATTTGTAAAGAGGCTTGTTCTGTGTCCTATGATGTTCCATGTGGAGGTGAGGAAATGTACATTTTATGGTAGTTGGGTGAAATACTCCATAGATGTCTGTCAGATCCATTTCATGTATGGTGTCATTTAGATCTTCTACCTTTTTTGTTTATTTTTTGTCTAGATGATCTGTCTAGATAGCCAGTGGGGTGTTGAGATGCCCTACAATTGTGTTGCAGCCTGTCTCTCCTTTGAGATTTAACAGTCTCTCCTTGATGCATTTAGGTGGTACTATATAATATTTTTCTTTGTCTCTTCTTACATCTTTTCATCTTAAAGTCTATTTTGTCTGATACCAGTATCGCAAGTCTAGCCTTTCTTTGGTTTCCATTTGCAGGGAATATATTTTTCCAGCCCTTCGCTTTCAGTCTATGAATGTCCTTATCAGTGAGGTGTGTTTCTTGTAAGCAACATATAGATGACTTCTATTTTCTTCTTTTTAAATCCATTCAGCCAGTCTGTTTGTGTCTTTTAATGGGAGAATTTAATCCATTAACATTCAATGTTATTATTGATATTTGTGGATTTATCTCTGTCATTTTATTAGCCATTTTCTCTGTTGTTTTTTGTTCTCCTATTTCTATTTGTTACTCTTTAGTTATCTTTTCTTTTTTTTTTTTTGAGAGGTTTTTTGCTATAGGGTGCATGCGCTCACCAGAAAGCGAGAAATCACCCCCCAGGGGGATGGCCATGCTGCAATCCCTTCTCCTTTCTCTTCTCGGGATCTTGGGCACACACACACACATGCCCGGTGTGAGTTTAAGGTCTGGACCTCAAACCGCGATCAACTACATGGGAGTCCAGCGACATAGCTATTACGCTAACTGCTGGTCCCTCTCTTTAGTTATCTTGATACAACACTCGCCTCAGTACTTCCAGTAGATCTGGTCTACAATTGGTGAATTCTTTCAGTTTTTGTTTATCTGAGAATACTTTTATTTGTTCTTCCCATTTGAAGGATAATCTTGCTAGATATAGTATTCTTGGTTTAAATTGTTTTTTCTTTTAATGTTTTGAATACGTCTTCCCGTTCTTTCCTTGCCTGCATTGTTTCAGTTGAGAAGTCTGACATTAGCTTAATAGGATAACCTTTATAAGTACTAGATGTTTCTCCCTTGCCATTTTTAGAATATTGTCTTTGTCTTTAAATTTTCGCCATCTGGCTATGATATGCCAGGGAGAGGATATTTTTATGTTGACTCTAGTTGGAGTTCTTTTTATTTCTTGGGTCTGAATTTCTCCCTGTTCCTCTATATTTGGAAAATTTTCAGATAGTATTTCATGAAGAAGGTTTCCCATGCCTTTAGCAGATTCTTCACCTTCTGGAATATCCATTATATGGATAGTTGGACATTTCATGGTGTATTTCCTGTGCGTTGTCCTCATTTTTTTTTTTTTTCCTCTTTGCTCGGAGACTATGTTGGAGACTTTGTCTTCCAGGTCAGAAATACTTTCTTCTATCTGGTCCAATCTGCTATTAATGCTTTCTAGGGAGACTTTAATTTCTTGTATTGTTTTCTTCATTTCCAGAAGTTCTGTTTGATTCTCTTTTAGGGTATCTATATCTTTTCTTTTCTCTCTTTCTTTCCTTTTTTTTGGGATATCTATTTTTCTTTATGGAATTCCTATTTCATGTCCTAAAGTGATGAAATGATTTTCTCATTTCCTAGAATTGATTGCTTTCTCTTGCATCTCATTGAGTTTTATCCCTAAGAATTTTTGGAATTCTCTTTCTGGCATTTCCATGTATTTCTCTGTGCTATCCACTGTTGGTGAGGGTCTACTACACTCACCAGGGGGACAGTTATTACCTTGTTTTCTTTCTTTTCTTTATTTTTTTTTTTCAGGATCTGTGCTGATTTTTCATTATCTAGTGCAGTATTCACTTTTTTCTACTTATTGGAGTAGATTCTGTAGTACTGGTAGAGGAAATTTCACCCTTAGTTCCCAGGCGTGTTCTTACGGGAGGGCTCTGTCTCTCAGGTCAGAGCAGTTAGGGGTAACTTCAAGTGTTTGGTTCCTCTGCCAAATGTTCAGCTCTTAATGAGCTGGTAGCAAGCTAAGGAGATACAACTTAGTGAAGAGGGTCAAGTCAGGCAGCGCGCGGATTGGTGTACCAAAAGCGCCAATGTAGCTCCCAGGCTCAGGATACCCAGACCAGATTTAAGTATCCCTGTGGGTGGCAGGCAGGGCAAGCCCAGGCCACTGGAGCAGTGGGTGACAGTGTGCTGAAAGTGCCAAAGTTGCTCCCAAGCCTCAAGTGCGGGCTCACCCTGATACTTCATTTTTCAAACACGGAAACTGAAGTTGAAAGGGGGGAGGGGCACAGAGAACAATTTTGATACTGAAGATAGTCGGGAAGGAGAGTGAGAAATGGGGGTGAGTGAGAGGGAGGGAATTAAGGGGAAGAAGAAAGAAGCAAAATATTTAAGGGACCCCAAATGGAAAGAAATCTGTTGATTCTAATGTTTATGGTAACGTCTTTGACTGGACCAATATGCAGTGTATTCACGAGGGGAAAAATTCATTTGGTCTGGTGTACTAATACGCAGTGTTTAAATGTATAAAAATAAATTTTTAAAATGGGGGGGAGGAGCTTACCCTAGCTCTCATAGAGGTCAAGAGCACAGATGGGAATCTGAAGCCAGGAGTGTCTCTGTCTCTCTATTTCTCTGCCTCTCTCTTTACCATTTGAAAACTACCTATTGAGCACCCACTGTGTGCTGTGTATGTGTTGGGTATTGTTCTAGTCAAAGCAGTTCACATAACTGACAAGCATATGCTGATGTTTGTGAAGCTGACATTCCACAGACAGGAGAGAAAGAGACAGAGTGAGGAGCCTACTGCCATAGTTTGCTCATTCATTCGACAAAACCTTATGTTGTGCTACTGCATGAACGTGCAGTCTGCCAGTGGTGGTGCTTATCCCCCATGCTCTTCCCACTGACGACATCTTCTTCTTGGTCCAGATGGCCCTGACATCCCCACGGTGACTGCAGAGGACCCAGATTTTGTGATTGGTTCCAACCTCACCCTCATCTGCTCTGCTGACTCCTACCCTCATGCCCAGTACACGTGGAGCATCAATGGGCTCCCCAAGTCTGAGGGCCAGACCCTCTTCATTTCCAGTCTCTCCAGGGCACACTCAGGAGTCTATACCTGCAATGCCTCAAATCCCATTTCCGGTTTGCACAGTAGTGTGGACATCAGCATCACTGTCTCAGGTATGAAGCTACAGTGAAGGGTCATTAGTTAACGGCAAAATACTAAAATATAGGTGAAATACTAAACATTTCAAAAGAAGAAAGAAAGGAAAACTCATTCTCTGTCCTAGGAATTTATTGGCGAACTTAACTTTTTAAAAATTCCTCTCTTGTCTGTGCCACTTCTCTAGATATTTTGCAAGATTATCTAGTCCATGATATGCAAAATACATTTCTTAAGAATTATTTGTTTAATTTTATTTATTTATTATTATTTTCTCAATTTTCTATAAGGCACATGCTCTCTCCAGAGAGAGAGAGAGAAAGTGAGAAAGCAAGCCTCCAGGTCCAAGACTTGAACCATGGTCAACTATGTAGGAGTCCAGTATCCCAACCACTATGCTACCTGCTGGCCCCTGCAGAAAATATTTTTACATTCTTGTACCAAAAAATGACTTTTAATTTTGATAGGGATTTTTTTAAGAGAGATTTTTGCTGTGGATCACATGTGCTCACTGGAGACACAAAGAGAGTGAGAAATCACCCCCCCAAGAGGATGGCCACACTGCAATCCCTTCTCCTCCATTCTCCTCTGGGGATTCTGGGCACACACGCACATGCACCTGGCATGAATTTCAAGCCACTGGGTCCGGGACTTGAACTACAGTTGGCCATGTGGGAGTGAGCACCTCAACCACTATGCCACCTGGTGGCCCTGGAATTGCTTTTTAAAATAGTCTATGCCACCTTTTCATATTTTAAGCAAATTGCACCATAATTGTAGATAAAGTATACAGATGGGAAAGAAGGAAAAAAAGTGATTGTCTACAACTGAGACTCCCAAAGGAGGCCGTATGGCTTCTAAAATACTCCTATTTTTGTATACACATTACAATGTGTTTATATATATATATATATATATATATATATATATATATATATATATATATATATATATATATATATATTAATAAATACTATTAGATTATACTTGCTGTTGTTTAACCTGTTTAAAAACTTTAATATACTATGTTAATTGAGATAGAACCACATTGCAGCCTACATGTTTATTATCTCTTTATTAAACATATGCTGTATATCCAGTGTAAAAAAATTAGACCATACAGACATTTTTAAAAAGAAAAGGAGAATGGGAGGGACCAGCAGTTAGTGTAATGGCTATGTCACTGAACTCCCATGTAGCCGACCGTGGTTCGAGTCCCGGACACGGTGACTTAAACTCATGCTGGGCGCGTGTGCATGCGTGCTCAAGATCCCAAGAGGAGAATGGAAGAGAAGGAATTGCGGCATGGCCACCACCCCCTGCCCGGGGGTGATTTCTCGCTTTCTGTCTCTCTGTCTCTCTCTCTCTTTTTGGCGAGTGCATGCACCCTATAGCAAAAACCTTTCCAAAAAAGAAAAAGAAAGGAAGAAAGAAAAAGAACATGGGAAATCCCTACATTTCCAGAAATGACCACTGCTAATATTTTGGCTTATTCCCCTCTCAGATTTGTTTCCCATTGCTATTTCTTATAAATTAATTGGTATCTAATTTAGGGATAAATACATTTTTTCTCAGTTGTTGCCTTTTCCCCTTCTGACATCCATTGTTTATTCATGTGACATGGTTGTGACTTAGGAGAATAAAAAGCTGTCATACTATAGTGCATCTCAGTGTCCGTGTCACTAAGAGAAGCCAGGGAAGATGTGACTGGCTGTGAGGACCCGGGTGCGGTGCAGGTCAGGGAGAAAGGGACCAGGCAGGCACACAGGCAGCGACACTCATCTACCCCTCGGGCCAATGGTTTCCTCTTGTGTTATGGATCATCTCTGCATCTCAGTTTCTTCATCTGCCAAATGAGGATTGCAATAGTCCTAACCTCACAGGGTCATCACAAGCTTAAATGAGGTCAAACATCCAGTACAAAGCAAGTACACAATACACAAAGGTTCACATTGTTTGCTCGGTTTTGTCATCATCCAGTGGGGTTAAATCCCACCCAATCACAAAATAAGATTGTGTCCATAAAGTATTTACCACAGAATCTGGAGAATATTTTGTGCTCCAGAAGTGTTTATTTATTTATTTATTTATTTATTTATTTATTTATTGAGAGCTTTTTGCCATAGGGAACATGTGCTAGCCAGACAGACAGAGAGAGACATAGAGACAGAAAGCGAGAAATCACCCCCCCCCGGGGGGATGGCCACACCGCAATCCCTTCTCCTCCATTCTCCCCCTGGGATCTTGGGCATGCACGCACATGCACCCAGCGTGAGTTTTAAGCCACCAGGTCCAGGACTCGAACCACGGTCAACCACATGGGAGTCCACTGACATAGCCATTACGCTAACCGCTGGTCCCTTATTTATTTATTTTTTTAAAGTTATTTTATTTCTTTATTTATTTTTCTTTTAAGATTGCTAAAGAGCATGTGTGCTTTCCAGAGGGAGAGAGAAAGGGAGAGAGAGAGGGAGAGAGAAAGTAAGAAAGCAAGCTACCAGGTCTGGGACTTGAACTGCGGTCAGCCATGTGAGAGTCCAGCACCTCAACCACCATGCCACTTGCTGGCCCCAGAAGTATTTATTTATTAAGTAAACAGAAATAAGGGAGAAGCAATGGCTGGATTTGTGGGTGAATGCATGGTTAATAGGATAAAAGAATGAGTGGGTTTATGGGTGATTGGATAAGTGGTTGGAAGAATGACTGGGTGGATGAATGGATGGAAAGATGAATGATTGAAGAGTAAGTGTATGTATGGATGGCTGGATGGTTGGATTTATGGATAGGATGATGGGTGGGTACAGGAGTGGCCCAAAGAGTGAACCATGGGGTGGATGGATGGATGAATGGCTGAGTTAGTGGGAGAGTAGATGGACTATCACAGTGCATAGATTAGTGGTTAGGTGGACAGATTCTTGGGTGGATGACTGGTAAAGGTGCGGAATTACATCCAGGCATTCTGTCCTTAAACCTGTCATCTGAGCAAGACTCAGTATTTCTACCTCTTTCTAATTTTTCACAGAGACACTTCCCCAGCCCAACATTACAGCCAGTAACTTTGCTCCAGTGGAGCACACAGACTCTATCAGTCTGCACTGCCTTCCTCCGAGGAGCACTGTGGCCATCCAGTGGTATATCAATGGCCAGAACCTCTTCACTGGAGGCCGCAAGGAGCTGTCCCCAGACCATCGGACACTGACTTTGAGGAACATCACCAGGAATGACACAGGGCTCTACCAGTGTGAGAGCCGGAACTCAGCCACGAGCAGCATTAGCAACCCTGTTCTCATCAAGGTCATATGTGAGTTGAAGGCCTTGCTAAAAGATGGGCAGTCATCTGCATAAGGGTGTGGCTGAGGGGTGAAGCCACGGCTGAAATCCGGTTGGGCCTGCTGGCAAAGCTGGCAGTGTCTTCCCCGGGGAGGGGAAGGCTGTTATAAGTCACATAAAGGCCTCATATTAGTTGGAGAACATTGTTTGGGTCTTTCTAGGCCAGAGATGCCCCAACCCACCATGAGACAGTCATTACTGACTTCCCAGAAGACTCAACAGGACATTTGAGGAAGGCTTGCAAGCCCCGTGTGCGGACATGGAACCCCACATCCACCAGCCACATGTGAACTCCACTGGGTTGGACACAAGTTAATCTATTTCTAGCACCCTCACCTCAGTAATATGGGTTAAATGAATGAAAACAGGAGGTGACTGGAGATGAAGGTTTGAAACTCAGCACCCCAGGAGGTGGTGATTTAACTTTAGGAGTGGCTGAGATTATCTAAGGGAGTGTGTAGAATGAAAAGGAAGGAAATCCAAAGAGTGTGACTCCAGTGGAAGGAAGAATCCACAGTGAGGATTCACAAGGGTTGTCAGAGATGGGGAGTGGAGAGCTGTATCAGAGAAGCCAAGGGTGTGGGCTCAGGAATTCATGTCAATTATTCAACCAACATTCACCAAGCACCTTCTGTGTGCCAGGCAGTGTTAGGTGCTGTGGACACTGCAGTGACCACAACAGAGAGAAATCCACCCTCCATGGAGTTAACATTCTAGTGGGAGGAGGAGGGAAGGGTTTTGTGCAGAGTTTGAAAAATGTGACTCAGGTTTGAACAGGGCCTGAAGAGGATCTCTCTGGTTGCTGGATGGGGAACAGGACGAGGAGAAGCAAAAAGCAGGCAGGGAGGAGGAGGACGATCAACAGCATCAGATGCTATTTTACATGAGAAACATGTCCTTTGGGACAATGGCCAACAGGCTAATGAAAATAGGAGACCTTCTTTTCCCCCTGGCTTGATCTTCTCAATTCTCTACAGATGGTCCAGATCCTCCCACAGTCAACCCTTCAGACCCAGAGGTCAGGGCTGGGTCAGCCCTCACCCTGTCCTGCTTTGCTGACTCCAACCCTCCTGCCCAGTACCACTGGGAGATGGATGGGAGACCAGGCCCTGACACCCAGCATCTGATCATCCCTGAGGTCTCTCTGGGCCAGGAGGGCAGTTATACCTGTGAAGCCTCCAACAGCATCACTCACCTCCACAGTTCAGTCAATGGGAAGATCCGGATCTCAGGTGGGTGTTGAGATGTCATGGTGACAGTGACTCCGGGTCTCTTGCTCTTACATAGGTGAGTATTGAGGTTGTTAGTCACGTTGTATCCCAGTTAAAGAAAACTCCAAAACTTAGCAGCTGAGGATAAAAATACCTATTGTAGCACAGTAGTCCACAAGTCAGCTGGGTGGTTGTTAGGGGATGCGGCTAGGCTCGTGCATGCACCTGTGGTTGCAAGACCTGTACGACAGGTATAGCTGGGGATTGGGAGGGTGGCTGTGATGGCCTTGGCTGGCTTCTTACACATGGTTGGGGCTTGGCTGGTGCCTGGCTGGCCTAGGATGGCCTGGCCTAGGCTCTTTTCTACATGGTGTATCATCTTCCAGCAGGCTAGAGCCATCTCATTGTCAAGGCATAGACAGAGATGAATGAGAGAGAGAGAGAGAGAGAGAGAATTATAAGAAAATGAAAGCAAAATCTGTCCGTTCTCTTGAGGTTTATGCTCAGAACTTACATAACATCACTTCTTCCCATTCTATTAACTGAAGCAAGTCAAATACTTGGCCAGCCCACATTCAAGAGTGAACCAGGAACTCTGGCTCCAGAGTGTGTATCTTGCATAGCTTCTGAAACTCCTCTCTCCTTCCAGACCACTCCAGTCTAAAATTCACATGTCTTACTGGGACTCCTCCTGTAGTGCCCTCCTCACTGGCCTCCCTTTCCATTCCACACCCCCCCGAAATCCACCATCCACTCTACAGCCAGAGTAAGCCTTTTAAAGTGCAAGTCTGTGGCCTATTTCTGCTTGAGTTCCCATTGCTCCAAGGACACATTCAGAACCCCCAGGTGACCTCCAGAGCCCGATGTGGTCTGGACCCATAGGCCTTGGCAGCTGGAAGCTCCGTGCAGAACACAACCATGCACAGGAGGCCATCGGGCCTTCATGCTGATCCCTGGACTTGCCAAACTCCTCTCTGCACATCCTAATTCACAGGTTTCTCCTCTGCTCCCACCCTCATGGGGTTGGTACCTTGGCCCTCTGTGTTCTCAACCTCACTCTGTTTCCTCATGCCTCGTCTTGTCACTTATCTGTGTCCAAGCTCATGACTTCAGACTCATGACTTTCCTCAGTATAGACATCTAGTCTATTTCTCTTTTTGAACTCTCTTGTCTATCTAATTGTCTACTTGGCTCCTCCAGTAGGATGTCTAATAGTCTCTAACCCAACGAGGCCCCACTTGAATCCCTTGCCTTCCTCTCCAAAGCCCAATCCAACCATTTCTTCTCCATCTCATTTGGTGCACACTCTATCCTTGTAGCTGCTAAGGTCAAATGCTGACTTCAATTTCCTTTACTCTCCACATTCAATCCTGTTGGCTCTACCTTGAAAATATATCCAGGACCTTTCCTCACCTTACCCGTTCTGGTCTAGTCACCCTGATCAATTGTCCGGTCCATGGCGGTCACCTCCTTGATTGCCTCCATCATGCCCGTACTTTGTTCCCTAC